CACACACACACACACACACACACACACACACACACACACACACACACACAAAGAACAAACTCACATTTTATATGCAGGTGACTGCATGTTTAAGCTGAATTATAAATGATTATGACAAAAAAAAATACTGCCAACCATTTTAAGCACCTTGTTGATCTGGATGAATTTAGTCCTAAATAATTAAGCTGCCACATAAATGTTGCATGGACAAATAAAAAAAGAAAGAAAATCATTTTTCTGTATCAGGATATAATAAACATGATTTTGGTTTCCCAAAGTTATTTTTTAAAATCTAACCTCAGGTGAACCAAAAAAACAGGTTTTTACTATTTATTTAACAGAAGTTAAGCCAAAATAAATAAATAAATAAATAAACTTCACCCCAAAGTCAGACTGTGTAATGCTAAAACTAAATACTTTATAAAATACATTAAAATGACTTTTAAAACCCAAGAACATTATGAGGGGAAAACAAATATATTTTTATGATTTGATTTTCCTCTTTTTAGCAACATAAATCCTAAAATGAAAAAGTATTATTTGTTTGGTTTATTTTTATTTATTTATATTTTTTGTCTGAGATGTCTTCATTTACCACATTGTGTTACCTTTGTGTGTTTGTCACGTTGCTTCCCTCCCACAGCAGGAAGCAGCAGAGAGGAGCTGCTCAGGTTCAGGTTATTTATAAAAATGGAAAAGAGAAACTCACAGGGGGCGTGACGAGCAGGCAGGTAACAAAACACAGGAATATTCAACAACAACAACAACAACAACAGAAAGTAATGAAAGGTTTCATGTTTTGTTTAATTTAACTTTTAATTTATGTATTTTTCTGCGGCTGTTAGTAAACTATCTCATGAACCAGTGGAGAAATCTTAACAAAACTTTCAGAGAGAGGTCATCGGATGTTTGTTTTTATTTAACTAAGGTTTGGAGTTTTTTTCCATTCAAGATGGCCGCCATCAGTTGAGTGGTAGTAGCTGAGAGTCATACTGAGGGCAAACGCTTGATGATTTAAAACAGCTGTATCTGATAATCAATTAAATAAATGTGATTAGATAAAATATGTTTGCTTCTTTAATAAATTTACTAAAACAGCATTTTTATTTTTACTACTTCTTTGTGTCTTGGTCAGATAAATTTTGTTTTCTGTTCCTGAGACATCGACTGAGTTGGACCTTGAATTAAACTGTTTAGTTGGAAGGAAATGGTTTCCTAACGGCTGCAGCATTGATCCTTGCAGCAGAAAGCAGCTCTGACCTCCGGCACAATCACAGCAGACGACACAAATAAAGCAAAAAGGAGCAACTGGAACTGAACAGCTGGGAGGTTTCGGCCTTGAAGCGCAGACTCTGCGAACGGATCTGATGATTTAGTTGCAACAAATGTCTGAAGTGACCTCGTTCATGCCGGTGAAAAGACCGTGAGACAGAAAACTCGTCTGCAGTCGGTGTGAAGGATTTTCTCTGCAGCTCCACATCGAAATGCATCTTCCTCCTGCAGGAGGTGACTTGGAGGTCAGCAGCTGCGTAGAAAACAACAAAAAATATGTGTTTATGTCCAGTGTACTGATATGAAACAGTATTTATACATCTGTATACATTTTATTGGAAACTTTTTAAAAAAAAAAGGTTACCTTATGAAGCCATTTTAAAGGGGACATATGCAAAATCTACTTTTTTAGCTGTTAACTCTGGGGCGCCAAGTGTAAAATGTAATATCCTATTTTTCATTATTTAGTTCATTTTTGAGTGCTATAATTTCACCACTAATATTTTATTGTTATTTCGCTCACTGTTTTTACATTTAGCTAAGTTTGTTAAATCTAAATGTTAAAAAACATTTAAATATCAAATCCTAAAACTAAACGTTTAAATATAAACGTAAAAGTTAAATATTGAGGTTCACATTTAGGTAATTTGGAATGGAACTGTCATTTCTGTTGGTGCTGCTCATGTTATGATGTCATCATCATGAGACAGTAGCAGCTGCTCAGTGCAGCTGAAGCTTCCCTACAAGACATCAAACTCCATAAAGCTCCTTCCTTTCTTAAGGCCTTGGTCACAGTAAATGAAAAGCGGCACAAAACCTGATCTAGCCCACTGTTTTTAGTTATGCCTCCTCAAAATATTTTGGTCAAACCTCCGTCAGTTATACTGCAGCCAAAGCATGCATGGTTCGTGTCTGAGCTGCACTTCAAACTGCTGGACCACAGGAACCACCCATATTGTTTTTATGATTTGATTTGATTTATTTATTTAACAGGAAAAGATTACTAAAAATCAAGCCTGACTCAGCATAATTGCTGTTTTACAGCAGGTTCCTGTTCTGCAGCACATAAACACTCAGAATTACAGCATCACAATCACATCATTATACACCATAGACACAAAGACAAACAAGCATACCAAATTTCAAAAAGGCAGCATTTTCAAAATAGGACATCTAAATATGAGCACAACAAAAAGTGTCCAGCAGATGGCAGACAAGATTCTTCTTAAAGGGCTGTAGATTTGAAATGGACTTTATGTTTTGAGGAATGTCATTCCATGCTTTAGTATAAACATAGAAGAAAGACCTCTGGCCGTAACAGTTTTTAAAAGTTGGTAATATCAGTTGTCCTTTTGTAACAGATCTAGTTGAATGACCACTTCCAGAATTTGATTTGGGCAACAATGCACAGAGAGTTCCATTATTGGTACCTTGGAAAATCTGAAAATATAAATTAATACCACTATACAAAATATAATTCTGAAAAGTCAAGGCATCAATGAAAGAAATGTAGTGATGAGTCCAACCAGGAAGTTTTTTATGAATTTTGTAGGCCCTTGAACACATTTTGAATTTAGATTTTGAATATTATCTTCAGCAGTGTTAGAAGCGTTAGCAGAAAGCGTCAGATAACCAATGTGATGTCATCACCCTGCTGCAAACATCTACAATGGCCGCTGCTAGACACCGCTAACAGTAATATTCAACCCATGCATCATCTATACCCGTTTCTTACTTTCAGGGTCACTGATGCTCATATCCAGCAGTCACAGTGCGAGGGGCGGGGGACACCCTGGACAGGTCACAGGTCCATCATAGAGACAAATAACTAGGGACAAATTAGAGTTACAAATTAACCTAACAGTCATGTTTTTAGTCTGTGGGAGGAAGCCGGAGTGCACGGAGAAAACATACAAACTCTACCCAGACAGGTCCCCGGGCCGGGATTTGATCCGGCATTCTTCTTGTTGAGAGGCATCAGCTCTATCAACTGAGCCATGATCAACATATTTTCAAATATTTAAAAGGAACAGTATCAAATCCAGCTGCTTTGGGACACAGACCAGAAAAGTGGTGAGAGAGGACCTGGAAAAGTTCATTAAGAAAAAATCAAACCAAAGCTTTGCAGTTCCACTTTTTAAAAACCACAACATGTGAAAACGAAGGATTTAAAAACAGGATATTTAAGCTGACCACCAGTTAAATAACTTTAACCAACAGAACGATGTCAGTTCTGCAGATGTCGAGATAAAATTTGATGCGGCAGCAGCTGAGAGTCTAAGTGTGACATCACGCAAATTTGCACGAGATCATAATTTACAAGGTTTGAACAAATTGTTTACAAGTGTCCAATTCTGGACTTTGACGGCCACCATCCTGATGTTTTTCGATGCTTTTCTGCTTCAACACTTCAAAGGAACGATTAAATTTTCTTTTCTTGGTGTGTATCTCACATATCTTCGAATCTCTCTTTCAATCTTTCCCGTTACATTTTTCCTTTTTCTTCTTGTCTCTATTTATAAAAAAAACATCAATGATGATGAGGAAATTAATATTCAGAGCAGGGAAACAACTAAAATATGCAGAATAGTTGCCCTTGAAAACCAGAATTGGACACAACTTGTTACAATTTATATCCTGTATCTGGGATGAAGTGTAGCAGGTGACCTGCATTCCTTCAAGAAAGTTTTTTTTAACTTGGGTCTTGATTCTCATTATAATCTTTGCTTATATCTTTTGCACTTTATTGAACATACAAATCCTCTTCATAAAACTAAACAGCTGTAAAAACATTTGAAATCATTTAAGGGTCTTTGGCTCCCCCTGCTGGAATCATGTGGTATAACAGCTGCTCAAAAATAATTTGATTTTTGTTTGTTCTGATAAATTAAAAATTTAAACATTGGTTTAACATTTTCATGAATTCAAATAAATTCTGCTAAATATAAAAGCTACCAGGGGGGATTTTTTTCCATCTAATAATTGATTGTAGTGTTGCACATGCAAAAATAAAAGAATAACATATCTTTGAGACAAAGCCAAAGACAAGTCAAGGGTATTTATTAAAAGATAAAATATGCAGTCATTACCCTGAACACGTAACTTTTAGAAAAATGCACCAACTTGTTAAAAAAATGTGAAGGACAAGTAAAGGACAGCTCAGCCTGCCGATACATTTAGATATTGCAAGTTTTGTCTTTTTTTTTTACTGTTCGAATGTGATCCAGATCCGTCTAAATTTGGCTGCACCCCTTGGTCACGTTGAAACAAAAAGGCAGGACAGTCGTTGCACAGTGAGGAAAAAATACTGCGAGATCAACGTCTCAGCAGCCGAGGATCACAGCTGTCAACGCGCAATTTCAAGTTTCAACAATTTTGTTTTAAAAAAATAATAACAAACGCTGTAAACATTCACACACAACACTGTAGCAGATCGAAAATACAGTACGTTCGTTGATATTTTGTTTGTAAAAAAAAATCACTCCACCTGTTTTCCACCGCTGTCCGTGTGCAGTTCAGAAATCTTACAGTAACACGATCTCACATTTAGCTGCTTTGACCCAACTGTCTAAAAACCCACCCTCTCATTAAAAACTCATTATAGTAAATATTGTAACTTCAGGAAAAATAACCACAAACAAGACATTTTTTAATATAAAAATGGTTTTTTAACATTTTTTTCAGTATAAAACATCACATATTCCCAAGCCAATCAAACAAATTCACTGATCATTTCAGTAATAATGAGCTCCTCAGTCAAACGCTCTACAAGGACATAAAAAAGGGTTTTTCTGCTGTTAAGGGATTAGCTGTACTTTCCTCTAATTACGGGAAAAATATAACAACACAAAGGCTAACAATCACTCTTCGTTTGCTATAACATTAATAATAGAAAAGAACAAATGTGAACTCCTGGTCCGAACAAAGCCCAAGCCCCAAAATCTGTGGTCAACGTGGCGTTTATGCAGTTTTCTGCTGGCCCTTCTTCCCGATGAGGGATTTGTGGATGTGGGGGATGACACCTGAGGACAAAACAAAACAGAAATCAGTCAGATTGAATGTTTCACCGACGTTTAGCCCGACGAATAATAAGCGAACTGTGAGCTCACCTCCGCCGGCAATCGTTGCCTTAATGAGAGAATCCAACTCCTCATCACCACGGATTGCCAGCTGCAAGTGACGGGGAGTGATACGCTTCACCTTCAAGTCTTTGGAGGCGTTTCCTGCCAACTCTAGTACCTGATTGGAAACGAATGTTCAGGTTAGAAGTCACACCGAGTCATTTGTCCATTCGCGCAGCCGCGAGGGGCTTACTTACTTCGGCGGTGAGGTACTCGAGGATGGCAGCGCTGTAAACCGCTGCCGTCGCTCCGACGCGACCGTGGCTGGTGGTACGAGTCTTCAAGTGTCTGTGGATACGACCCACCGGGAACTGTCGGCAAACACAGTCGGCGCTTTAAACAAACCAGAGCTAACGAAATCCCACTCAAACGCCCGAGCGCCGTTGTATCGGCACCTAAGCCACAAACCGCCAAATGAAGATTTAAAAGAGATTTACCTGCAGCCCGGCCCTCTGGGAGCGCGACACCGCCTTCGCCTTGGCTTTCCCGCTGTCTTTTCCTGCCTTGCCACCAGCCTGTGCAAACAGAGGTAAGATTTTTAACAAACAAAAGAAAGAGTTCCTACATTTTAAGCTTCTCAGTCATGTTGAAAACAAAATCAAAGCATTTTTTGTATTTATTTAAGAGACTAGTGTTGGTCTAATGCAGAGGTTCTCAAACGGGGGTCCCAGGACCCCCGGGGGTTCACGAGTTGTATCTTGGAGGTCCTCAAAAATTTTCAATAAACTGTTCATTTGATTTTTCTTTTTAAAAAAATGCGTCTAGGGAACAATGCACTAGTAAACAACCATACTAAACAAAACAAATGATAATATTCCCATGGGCTTTAGGAGGTAAAATAACAGTAAACTTTTTTTAAAACAGCATAGGGTTTGTAAGGGGGTCCCTGGAAAGTTTTCACCCTGGTAATGGGTCCCCAGACCCAAAATATTTGAGAACCCCTGGTCTAATGTACCCCATTTACTACAGTATTTAAAACAACTACCACATTTTATATTAAAAGACATAAAACACAAGTTTAAAGGTTACTCTGTTTCCTGGTGGGGCTTTATGTCACATAAACAGAAGATTAAGTGAATGTTTTTACCTCTTAAAAACAAAGTGGATCTGCTTATTATCAAAGATTCAGACTGTTCTAACTCATCTATAGCAGATTATAATAAAAATAACCTTCAAAGAAACAGGTTTTCCATTATTATAACAAACAAAAACTCCACTTTTAAACATTTTGTAGAACAGAAGGAAACTGGTAATTAATGCAATATTTAGGGGGGAAAACGAAGCATTTTAAAATAGGAATAAACTATAAATAAAACTAGTTTATTCCTGCAATCAAAACATGTTTTCTCGTGATTACAGGAGACCAGTTGAGCAGCCGTCGTTTTCCCGCCAATAACAAATAAAACAAACGAAAGGCGGCGGCAGTTACAGTATTTACTGTAAACTGTTCGCTTTACACCGAATCACGAATTAACAGATCAGGAAATAAACACAACAAACAGGCGACCCGATTGAAAACAATAAACACGAAACTGTGTCAAGCCCCCACAAAAAACCCCGCGTCAAACACAAACAAGACGCGCCGCCTTCACAGGAGACTACTTTTAAGTTTTCATTCACAAATAATTACAAAAAAAGAAAAAAGTTTCCATTCGCGGTCCTGCCGACCCCCACACTCACCATTTTTCGCCTGTTTTGTCTAAAATAATGCCGTTCAGGAACAAATTATCGGTCCACAACCATAATCCACTCAACCCTTAAAGCAATGAAACTGACGTTAGCATCATGCTAATCAACCTTTCATGCAGGCTACTGTCAAAGAGCGCACTTTTACATGAATCAAAGCTTAGATTCTTTATAAAACCCTTTGCTTCGGCCGAAAAAGACCCACTCAAACGCAAACCTGATGCTACCAAATACCAAAAACTACGCTGTGAAACTCCAGACTTCCTAAGGTAATGTTAGTGAGCATGCTAACGCGCTAAGCTAGCTGACAGCTAGCTCTTTAGCAGAAGCTTTCTGACCACAAACGTTCAGGTCGAAAATCCTCAGCTTTAATTCAAAACAGCACTTTCTACAGCGGAACGTTTAACTCGCCCAAAAAATCCTCCCGACCTCCCGGAAAGTGCATTCCGGTGGTAATCTAAGCGTACGTACCATTTTTCCGTCTCGTTATTTGATTGTAGAACTGACCGGATCGCAAACAAATTCAGCTCCCGAAAAGCAAAGAAACAATAAACCCTTTCGCAAATCTTTTGCATGCGACCCCTCGTGGGAGTCCCGCCAACCAATCGGGGAGAGCGTTGTTGCTTCGAATCCGTCGCTCGACCAATGGCAGCGCGCGGTGCAGAACTGTCACCCATCCCCCACTGGAAGATCACCGGGCCTGTCTTTGCGCACGAAACCGACAAGTAGGCGGGGCTCCGGTCTGTGGAGCGTCCTTCCTCTGACACTCATCCCTCAAAAGCACAAACTGAGTTGAAATAAAGTTTTCATTAAAAAAAAATAAACACTTGTCGCGTCTTTAAATAGAAACGTTTATGTAAAGACGTGCTTAGGGAACTTATCTGTAACGAAGGAGAAACTATCTGATAAAGTTATACGTTATAAGCCTTGAAATGTAATACTGTCAGAGGTTACTGTTATTTTTATATTATTTGGGTTTTTTTTTTTACTTTATGGAAATATGAGTTAGAACAAGAACAAACAAGTAAAATAATAAGTATATCAGG